GGGGGGGGTGGGGGGGGGGGGGGGGGTCACACGTGGTTAGACTGGGAAGGGAGTAGTAGTGCTGCAATCGCTACAATCCTAGGCATGAGCAATGTCTATTTCCGCGAGTTAAAAATAATTTATCGCTTCGCAAGGATCGTTAAAGCAATGTCAGCAATTTCAGTTCTTTTTCGGAATTTTACTCCCCATCTATGCTTAATGTCATAAAATTAAAAAATGCACAGTATATTTCGTCGTGTACGTAGTCGATGGTTTGAAACTCTTTCCTTTAAAAAAATAAAGAACAATGACGTGCATTATCGAGATTAAATTTTTTCTTTCAACAATATCTCAGGCGATATTCTATTGGCCGTACAAAGCACTGATATTATATAATAATTGCATATTTACACAGCGTATATTGTAATGAAGTCGAACTTTTTACTATTCTCCATCGGATACTACTATCATCCATGTTGAAAATAATCACATGGCCCGAGTATAATAAACAATTAGCTATTGAAGTACTGTTAGCCGACTTTATCTATTCAATATTTTTATATATAAATCAATGAATTTTCGTATTATTTCTTTTATTTGCGCAGCTCTAGTGTTCATTAGTTGCATTTATAGAGTATACCATTTTAATATACACGAGAGAGCGAATGGGAAAGAGAGAGAGAGAGAGAGAGAGAGAGAGAGAGAGAGAGAGAGCATTATTTGTTCATGCGAATAATTACCTGCCATTCAATGAAATCACACCGAGCTATCGTATTCAATTATACACGAACAGCGACATTTCCGCTTTATTTCGCACATCAGCGGACGCATAATTTGGTTCTCGCAGAAAACAAGAAGCGCGAGAAGGGCTCTGCAACAGAATCTTATCCAACATCCGAAAAAAGTGGCATCATCGGGAGAGGGACGTTGCCTCGCGATGGAAAGTGTGGATATCGACCACCGTATCTCTTCGCACCTCGTCGTTTCCGCTCCACCGGAACTGTGCTCCCAATCTTCGCGCCTCTCGCCGGCCTTGGGACTCGCTACTGCATTGGCTCTCCACCTCCTTTCCCGTAGCCCAGGATTATTTACGAGCGCTCGGGGCGAGAATAAAAATCCAAGAGCGCGAGAGAGACTACTGGTGTGCGCGCGTGTGTGTGCCAGCTTGGGTAAAGGGGAGCGGGAAATAAATCGCGACCTCGCTGAAGATCGGCCGATGAGCCGGGGCGCGCACTCGTAAATTAGATGCTCCCGGCCCTTAAATCTCACATCCGGGACCGAGCGGTTACTCCGCGCCGCGAATATATGCATTATTGGGGTCGCGTCTAGTATACCTAATGCACCCCCTTTTGTTGGCCGCTTCCCCTCACTTTATCGCCACCGACAAGCTTTTTTAATCTTCGCCCACGCGCCGCTGGGGAAATGGCGGATTAATAGGGACGGCACCGCGTGTTGCCCGACTCTGGGCAATTGCTTTACTCGTAATTGCTGCGATGCTTTATTCGATCGGCCAAACTTACGTGTCCACTATCCCTCTCAAGATCATTGGTTACGCGCGCATTTACGCACTCGGGATTTTACGGCGAATCCAGTATTATCTTATAGCGTTAACTCGACGTAGTCCGCCACTAATAATTATATGCTTTCTTTCGACGTCTTTCTCGTCCTTCAATTATTTCATTTATAAGATTCGCGATTTGGCCTATTCAACGTATAGAATCTTAAAATTCTACTACTGGAGAACTATCGAGATTAATCCGATAAAATAAATAGTAAATGATAAAATTTTGAATCGATATTGTTAATTTTTTACTTTTGCTGTACATAGTTTGGCAAACCTGGCAATATAGCGATATCATACTCACGTTAGAAACAAATTTCTGAACTGAAAGCTGGACACTTGGAGAGAATGGGAATTCGAAATCTTTAACAACAACAACAACAACAACAACAACAACCTACCTACTACAAGAAAATACCTACTTAAACATTTAGAACTTAAGCACTCGTGTTACGGTTTGGTTCCGTTCCGATTTTGGATAGAGCACCGAATATTCCTAGAGGCTCACACATATGCATGCGTATGTATATACGTGGTGAGACGTCAGGGCGGAGGAGCACCCATCGTCACCCGTAAAGTACGCAAAATAAACGAGAGAGAGAGAGAGAGAGAGAGAGAGAGAGAGAGCAGCTTGTCCGCCGAGGTCGCTGTAATTACATATACATGTGTAAATGACCACCTGAAGCCGAACAAACGGCTCTCTAAATCGCTCCGTTAGTACAATAATTTTTATTTACCGAGTGGCTTTACCCAGCACGCCGCGAACATTAAGGAATTCGTCTTGTCAATGTACGCTGCTTTATGAGAGACGGCCGTTCTCGCTAAGCAACGCTCGAGCCAATAATTGCATTAAATATATCCCTCGCTATCATGGATTTTAGTTTTTGAGAGAGACGCGTGAATGAAAAAAAAAGCTCGAGCTTCGAGCCAGCACCTTTTCAATCGAAATCTACGCAGCTTGAATTTGCAAGCGCTTCGAAAAATTGAATTTATTTATTCCATCTGACGTAGAATGGAGCATTACGATAAACGATAGGAACTCTATTTACGAATTTTATCAGCTTTTTGATTTATTTTGTTGTTTTTTGTTTATTTTAATGCTCTTATGAAATATCGTAGCAAAATTTGCCGATAAAATTTACATAAAATTTACATTTGCAGATACAAGAAATCTATCGACTATGAAACGGTGAATGTATATGTAGAATTTATAAAAGAAAAGAAATAAGAGAGAAAAAGAAGACGCCGATGTCTTTTAAAAGTCGGCCGGGTTCCCCTGTTTTGTACTCTTAGAAGCGA